TTAACATTTATGGTCTTTTACAACTACATTGCTTTCTGACAATATATTTTTTGTGTCCTTTTTAAACACTGTTTCAGACAATTTAGTAGTTCAATAATTCATTTCTGAAATTTTTTGTTTCTGTGCGTATTTTTGAAGTAAAAGATAAAGTAAGTTATTTTCAATTTACAAGCATTTAAATATAGTTTGGTAGGACTTGAATAGTCCATTTTTGAAAATTAAATTCTTTTGTCCTTTTATGGAACGAAATAATTTGAGACCAAGACGTTAGGAGATCCATATTTCTATTAAAATGACCCCTGACGTTTAACATGTGTTAAACATTGTTTTTAGTTTTTTCTAACAGCGCCATCTGTTGCTAACATTGTTAACAAATACATAATTTATTGAAAATTTTAAAGCTAGTTTCCCAAACAGAATGCAGCAAAACCATACATTTCCCTCCCCTTTTATTTGATTTTTCAAATCAACCGTCATTTTTGAAACACAAATTATTATAATTATTATTAACAGGAAAATTGGGAATTCAGCATCTGCTATCGCTATTGCTTTCTTGTTGTTTTCTTCTGCCATCCGATATCAGAAATCCCAAGAGTAAAAAGGTTATTGACCGGAAAACAGTTCAAGCCAAGCTGCTATGGGGACACATCTTACTTCTTGGTGGAGGATTTGCCTTGGCTGACGGTACTCAGATACTCAAAACATTCTAACCTCTTTTTTTAAAATGAAAACTCTAAAAATATCAACCGCATAGGTGATCATGTACTTTGTATTGTAGTATCAAACATCGATCATCAAAGTATATGTGATCATCGGAAATATAGAATAGATCTATCTTTGGAAATATAGAATAAATCATTATAATAAATTAAAATTTCTTCATGAACCTTTGTGAAAATATATTGTGGTTAAATAGATTATTCTAGACTAAGCATATTACTTATTTTATAATTTTATTTCAAAAAATTGTTTTTCTTCTTCCCCTTCCAGAAATCAGGTTTGTCAAAGCTCATCGGAGAAGAACTATCTTCACTTCAAGTATTGCCACCTATAGCAGTAGTTGCAGTACTTTGCTTCATGACAACCATGATTACTGAAATTGTGAGCAATACGAATACTGCGAATATATTACTACCTGTCTTCTGTCAAATGGTAGTTTTTTTTAAAATATTCATTACGTTTTCATATATTGTGCATTTTATTGAATTTATAAAATATTTTAGTAAATCTCAACGTCCTTAGAAAAATAATATTTTTAAAAATGACTGTAATGAAATAGTTTTATGTGGAATTTATTATTAATTAAAGAAATGTGATAAGAATAATTAAATTTAGAAATAAAGTTAAGAGTTTTGAGTTTGATAATTTTAACAGTACATTCAACATTTCAATATTTGAAAAGCTTGGGGAAATTTAATGATAAGCCACATTTTCAAACTGTCCATGACAATGGGTTTGATAAAATTTACACCATGATTTATTTATATATTTCTGAGATATATGTCTGAGTTTTCTGTAGTAAACAAATGGAATTCCAGATATTTGTAAAGTATCAATTATTTCAAAATAATGCGAAGGAAAAGTTCAGTGTAAAAATGTGGATTAACATTGTTATGAATTTATGAGTGTGTTGATAGCATATATTGAATGAATTTATTTTCTGTGACTCTGAGTTCGATAAATTGAAAGGAGATTCAGTATTTAAGCGATAATTCATCAATAAATTGAATTAATTTTTTCAATTTTTTTATTTAAAAAAATTTTTTAATGTTATTTTAAAATTATAATTTCGCGAAAATAATGTCTTTTTAATTTATTTTACTATGATGCAAGGTAAATAAAACATTCCTTTTCCCTAACTACCTATTTTTCTTTTTTCTAAGTGCCAATAATAGTTTAAGAATGGAGAAGTTGTTATGCTGTACATATAAATGGTCCCATATCTCCCTTTAATATTATTCTATAATTTTCAAACTCAAACCCCGTTAATGATCACTATTTTAAAATTATGTTTNACTTCTTGGTGGAGGGTTTGCCTTGGCTGACGGTACTCAGATACTCAAAACATTCTAACCTCTTTTTTTAAAATGAAAACTCTAAAAATATCAACCGCATAGGTGATAATGTACTTTGTATCTTCGTAGTATCCAACATCGATCATCAAAGTATATGTGATCTTCGGAAATATAGAATAAATCATTATAATAAATTAAAATTTCTTCATGAACCTTTGTGAAAATATATTGTGGTTAAATGGATTATTCTAGACTAAGCATATTACTTATTTTATAATTTTATTTCAAAAAATTGTTTTTCTTCTTCCCCTTCTAGAAATCAGGTTTGTCAAAGCTCATCGGAGAAGAACTATCTTCACTTCAAGTATTGCCACCTATAGCAGTAGTTGCAGTACTTTGCTTCATGACAACCATGATAACTGAAATTGTGAGTGAGCAATACGAGTACTGCCAATATATTGCTATCTGTCTTCTGTCAAATGGTAGTTTTTTTTAAATATTCATTACGTTTTTATATATTGTGCATTTTATTGAATTTATGAAATATCTTAGTAAATCTCAACGTCCTTAGAAAAATAATATTTTTAAAAATGACTGTAATGAAATAGTTTTATGTGGAATTTATTATTAATTAAAGAAATGTGATAAGAATAATTAAATTTAGAAATAAAGTTAAGAGTTTTGAGTTTGATAATTTTAACAGTACATTCAACATTTCAATATTTGAAAAGCTTGGGGAAATTTAATGATAAGCCACATTTTCAAACTGTCCATGAGAATGGGTTTGATAAAATTTACACCATGATTTATTTATATATTTCTGAGATATATGTCTGAGTTTTCTGTAGTAACCAAATGGAATTCCAGATATTTGTAAAGTATCAATTATTTCAAAATAATGCTAAGGAAAAGGTCAGTGTAAAAATGTGGATTAACACTGTTATGAATTTATGAGTGTGTTGATAGAATATATTGAATGAATTTATTTTCTGTAACTCTGAGTTCGATAAATTGAAAGGAGATTCAGTATTTAAGCGATAATTCATCAATAAATTGAATTGATTTTTTTCAATTTTTTTATTTAAAAAAAATGTTAATGTTATTTTAAAATTATAATTACGTGAAAATAATGTCTTTTTAAATTATTTTACAATGATGCAAGGTAAATAAAACATTCCTTTTCCCTAACTACCTATTTTTCTTTTTTCTAAGTGCCAATAATAGTTTAAGAATGGAGAAGTTGTTATGCTGTACATATAAATGGTCCCATATCTCCCTTTAATATTATTCTATAATTTTCAAACTCAAACCCCGATAATGATCAATATTTTAAAATTATGTTTCAAAATTAAGTATGTTTTCAATCATTATTATAATTATTTCTTTTGGTATGGTAGTATTGTATGGTATAATATAATACCTGAGCGAGTTAGAAAATAAAAGGTTAATATTAAAGTATGATATTGAGCCATAAATATATACAATATATGAGCAATATTTCTATTTTTTTATCGCTATTATTCGAACTTCGAAAAGGAAAAGTTTAAGTAAAGGAATATTTTTTATTTCATTACAATATTGCAAAATAATAAAAATAAAAAAAAACTTTTTCTAAAGTTAGCTTTTAAATATTGAACACGTCCGTGGTCTGAACCCCCAGATCCTTGGAACTAATGTTTTCTGACCTGTTTATTAACTCAAAGCCATAGCGGAAATTGTAAACATATTCCCCTAATTCGTCAACAGTTTTGTGGTTTGGTCTGAATTTTAAGTACATTCAAATATTGGTGGATTTTGGTTTTATAACGATGGTTGAAAACTAAAGTAGAAATTAGGTATTTCTGTAAGGAAGGAGCCGCAAAAAAAGTTTGACATTGCAATTTGGTCCCCTTGTGTCCAAACTAAGCATTCTATAGATTTGTATTTACGCATATTAAAATAATTATTGGTCAAATTTAAAAAATTAGAGTTTTATATAAATGCAAAGTACAGGTCGTTGTAATATAAGAAGAGCAAACAAGAAATCTTCAGAAATTTTCATAAGTGAGCTATTTTTATAAAGTGGAATATTGAAAGCAATAATTTAAAATCTATTATTAAAATTATTAATTTCTAAAAACGGTTTTATTTCTTTAATAAAAAGNATATAAGCAGAGCAAACAAGAAATCTTCAGAAATTTTCATAAGTGAGCTATTTTTATAAAGTGGAATATTGAAAGCGATGAGTTAAAATCTATTATTAAAATTATTAATTTCTAAAAACGGTTTTATTTCTTCAATAAAAAGAACAAATAATTCGCGATTAATTAGCCCTTTCATTTACATAAGCTTTTGTAGTCTGCCATTGGTCTCAAACTCACAGTTGTGGGATTAGCAGTTATAACACAGGACCGTGGTCATCTGAGTGTTTAAGAGGAATTACAATTGCCGTGGGTTTGCATTGGATGCACCCTATTATGTTCCATTTTGTAGCCTTTAGTTTGTCTGTATGTATGCGGCTTGATGTAGTAGTTTAGTATGTTACTGCATCGATATATGACCAAGTTTCGAAATAATAGGTTTAAAGGACAGTTTCTCTTCCCAAAATTGATTTAAAAGTTGTAGTATAAGATATTTATTGCTATTCCTTATTATTATTATCATAATTATTTTTGTTTGGATCCAAATTTAGGTCCATTGTCCTTTTTAAAATTAAATTGGTTATTGGTCGAAATAAGTAACGTCATGGTATGAGAAGAAATATGTACTATCACTTTTTACTGGCAAGGGACTGTAAATTAGATGTATGTCTTACTCTATTTGAAAATGAAATACACTTTGAATTTGCAAATATTATAATTTATTTGATAATCAATTTACCGATGTTAAGGAATTACAGCAGTTTAAATATTTGCATATTAAATTGTCTTGAATTACAGCAGACATTTCGTTTTCAGACATTGAAAAGGAACAGTAATATAATTTTTTTAGATGTTACAGCAAAATCTTCATTTACTAGCAACCAAGTCGTGATTTACTAAGACAAGTCGTGATTTTCTTAAGGACAATTCGTGATTTACTTAAGGCAAGTTGTGATTTACTTTCTCTTGAACAGTCTCCTGAACATTCGAGCGAAGCAATGAAAGCATCCTTTCTGTTTTTGTTCAGATTGTTCATTCATGGTCAACTCTATATCACTTCGTTGCCAAAAGTCTATTTCGTCTCTTAAGAAAGGACCATCACGACTTTTCAATCTAAAATTTAAAAGTAACACTCACATTATTAGAAAGCTAAATACAGTTTTTTGCTTTGTTAAAATAGCTTCATTTTAAATTATAAGCTTTTTGTATAGAGTAAAATGCATTTAAAATCAGAGAAAGTTTCGAATGCACAGATTTCAGAAAACTCGATTTTTATTCTAGAATCATCAAAATCGTTATATTATTTACGACAATGAGAAACAATTTCGTGATGAATTTATTAGGGAGATTTTATTTTTCAAATTTATTGACGATATCTTTTGTGCAAATGTTTCCTGATTTAAATCTTTTACATCAATCCCAATTGCTTAAAAGTATTCAAAATGACTTTTCGCTCAATTTTGCCGAAGTAAAATACATTAATACAATAATGTGAGAAGCACCCCCCAAAAAAAGAAAAAACCTTTTTAAAAATAATTCCCCCCAAAATTAAGAAAAACGCTAAAAAAAACAGAAATAGGAACGGTCGACGGTCGTCTTATGAACATCTTGCAAAAATGATTTAAATATATTTTCCTAACAAAATTGTCAGATTGCAAAATATGAAATTAAAGATTACAAATATGAGATTACAAAATATATATTTTTTAGTCGCCTTCGTACTGAAGTATAAAACCACATTTAATTTCTCACTTATCTTGGAATGGACCGAATACTAGATTTGCGTGTGGTATTAATATATTATACTGGATAATTCAAAATTTTGAAGAAATAAAAGGTCGAAGTTCAAATACAACATTTTAACTCGATGATTTTTGAGAGAAATTATTAAAAAATATTTATTGAATATTGGAGAAGGTTAATTTTTAGTTATAAAATTTCTTAACCACGGAATTGGATTTGCTCACGTAAGTTTTCTTTTTAATTTCTATCTATCTATCTATCTATATATATATTTAAATTATATATGTCCATATTTAAAATGTTTGGAAAAAGTTAAAATACCTATCGTCCTCAATACCAAATTCGATTGAGTCCTTATCGTGTACAACATCCATCTTATAAAGTTTCGCTATCTGTACATCACTGAATAGGAATGTTGGGTAAGTCAATTCCTCACTAAAAGAAAAAAAAAAGAAAAGGGAATAAATATATAACTTAAAATTCAATAAAATTATTTTGCTCAATAAATTTTTCTTTAAAGTTGAGATATATTTCTAAAGAGAGAGAATTTATTAACTTATCAACGATCAGATGTTTTAAAAATGCTACGATGTGTAATTATTTATTTTATATTTTGTGTTAATTATTTATTTAATAAGAAAATGGCCATTATAGATTTTTGTAGGGGTGATAATTACAGTAGCATTTATAAGTGAATTCCAGAATCGTGGCTCAGTATTTAAAAAGATTTTTCAGTTTAAAAAATTATGTTTACTATTCAGTTATTTACCTCATTCGTCTTTTATTTAAAACTTAAGAAACAGAGATTTCGTTTTTTATTCGCTCTATATTGATTTTTTTCGGGAATCCATTAATAGACTTTATAAAAAATACTCATGGTTATAAAGAAAATACCTTAAAAAGTATAAAATAATGAAATAAAATCTTCAAGAAATATGTTAAGTTGCAATTTATTTTAATATTTTATTTTATCTAAATAAATGTTTTTTCTTGTATAAAATTGTTTAGATCGTTTATACCTTATACCACTGAATAAAAATTTATTTATTTACGAATTATTTAATCTTTCCAGAAAATTGGGTTTATACAAGCAACATTGTCATTCCTTCAGCACTTGCATTTTTAATTATTTCACTTTATTAAGCAAACTCCTGTAAAGTTAATGACCTTGAAAAATAATTTTTTCTTCGTCAAAGCAAAGATTTTAATCTTTTAAATAGCTGCACGCCTTAATTCTGTTCATGCTCAATAAATTCATTTTTAATCATCTGTACCTTCGATTCATAGGGATTAATAAAACTTAAAAACCGATGTGTAGTCACTTACAATTTTATGCTAATATTTTATTTAAAAATAGTTATGAAAGTGTCTTCTGAAAAACGGTGAAAAATAACTCAAACACTGAAGATCATTCTAACTAAAATATTAAGCTGCCATTAAGAAATATTCTAATTAACATACCTATTCAGCTCCTCAACTCCATCACCCTCATCATCATCATCCTCATCCTCAACCTCATACCCAACTTTATTATCCTCATCATCATCATCCCCAACCTCATCATCATCAGATGATGGCACCTCAGCTCTTAACTCCATCATGCATTCATCATCACTAAAATTATAAAAGGAATATATTTTTTTCAAATCTGTCTGAAGGTCATAGGTTTTTATTAAAGAAGGCGACTTCCAGAGTTTATTTAGGATTAGAGTGTGGAAAATAAAACTGTGTATCCTAAGAAATTTTGATTTAAATATGTTTTCGATTGTTGTTTTATTATTTGGTGAGCATTATTGAAAAAGACTGTTCATTATTTTATGTTTATATCATATTTTAGTCGATTTTAACCAGCAGTAGTGTTTTGTTGCCAAAATAGGTAAACATTAAGACCACTGTTTGCCCTTTAATGTATGACCCTTTGCGGTCGTATGTCTACTCTCAGTCACCAACGTTTTTTTACCATTTCAGTCATATGTTTGAGGTCAGTCACCACAGCAAAGATGTTAGCCAATCGTAAAGGCAAACTACATCTATTGTGGCACTGAGAAGATGTAAAGAGTAAAGATTGTTCTGTATGTTCAAACAGAAAAGGCGGAAGACGCCTAACTAATCATTATTGCGACACATGTTCTCAAAAACCTGGATTTCATATTGGAGACTGCTTTGAAAGATAACACACGAGAACAATAAAACATAATTTTTACATGAAACTAAAACATATTATTGTGTTAGATATATCTAAAGCTTAAAAAAGAATTAATATATTTTACTTTTCCTTCATAAGTTTGCATATTATGTATTACTGTTAGTTCAACGAAAATTAATTCTAACCAGCATGACCAGGGTTAAATGTTTCATTGCTTTTAATTGCGTTTTTGCTTTCTTAGTAAATTTTTCAAATACTCAAAAGGGTACTTTTTTCTTGAGAAAAAAAAGAAAGAAAATTATGACGAAAGGCATAAAACTTTAGGGATATATAACTACTTACCCTTCTCTCAAATCAATCTCATCCAATTCAATATCATCCAAATCGAATTCATCTTCGAATTCGCTACCATCCTCATATGCTGAAATATTAATTAAAATTAAATTTGAAAATTTGAACAAAAACTAACTTGAAAATAATCTCTAAAGTGCGTGTTTTGCTCAATAATAAATTTTCAAAGTTTTTGAACACATTCGGATAGGTATTTACACCAGTTTTTATTTATTGTGAATTAATAACACTCAAATGGGTAAATAATATTCTAGCGTAAAATTTTGACTTTCTTAAATGTTTGAATCAGATGTAGAAGAGCATTAAATCTATATCATACTTGTATTTCTCAGTAAAAAGTTACAATTGGTTGCCAGTTTTCAAGTCTTTATTTGGAAGTTTTTTTTCATTTTCATATTCTTACAGAAAACAGGAAAAAAACTGTTTCAAAGTGAGATTTTTTTTTGTTTTCTAGAAATTGAGCAAAGTAGGAAATAAAAAATCTGAATAGAAATAACTGGAAAATGGCAGATTTAACATTCAGTTTAAGCTTCAGATTGGAATGCCCAATCCACAAGCTGTACCCAATTCTATGCTCTAACCTATTTTCCCTCCAAATTTCGATTAGAACATTTCTTTATTTGTTACTTAATACTATAGTGCACCAAAAGTTAAATTGGATCACTCATTTTAAAAAGAGAAGTTTTATTAAATTATCCATAAAGTTGTTTTTTCAATTTAAGACAAAAGTATCATTTATAAAATATTCTCAAACACTTTTTTGTCAATTTTTTTAATGTTTACGAAATTTCCTCTATCTTCATTAAATTTAGGTTTCTGGGAACATTTTTGATCACTGTAAGGAAGTTTCATGTCTTTTTAACATTTTTCTAGGTCCATATCAATAAATAATAGAAATTTTAAAAATATATATAAACGTATGTTTTTATACTTACGATTAGGCCGGGGATACTTTTCCCTTTCCTTTCTCCAATGATTCAAAAGAGCAAAACGATATAAATCGCTTTTATCCATAATTCTCAATTTTTAATTTCACAAAAGACAACTAGCATTTGAGAAATCTCAAGCAAGAATGAGTAAAAAAAACTTTTTTAATCGATCTAACAGTTGCTTTGTTTGCAACAATGTGAACAGTTGTTTAAATAATATCTTGTATAAAATTTTTATATAACTCTCTGTTAGTTTATTGTTGTCAGAGTTTCGATGCTAAGTATTGTTGAAAATGTTTTTAAAAGTTGGTTACTCTAAGTGCAAGAAAAAATAATATTAATGATCGATTTCAGATTTAAGTTTAAGAAAACTGATTTCTTCCATACAATTACATTTATTTAAAGGATACAATTAACATAGAAAAAATAATTTTAACTTTGCTTTAAGTAAAACGTATAAAAACAGGGAAGAGATTACTATTTTCTTTATAGAAAATTCATTTTTTAAGAAATTGACACTTTAAATTTAAGCCTTCTCAAGGAGTTTATCTATCCTTAGGGCAAATATGAGTTCCACTTCCCCACTACACTATACAACATAATTTTATATGCTAATTTATTTCACTTCTTAATTTATTTCATGTATTAATTTTATTTAGTGCTGCGAAACGAACTCACTCACTTATTCATGTACTTATTTAGTGGTTTTGAGAAAAAATTTAAATATTTACTTAATTAGTAAAAATTTTGAAAATCAATGGTAGAGTGGTTAAAGCACTAAATTGTCACGATGAAAGCCTGTGTTCGATTTCCTGCAGCGTTTTAAAGTCTACGCAGCTTCAAACATGTTTGGCGATGGGTACATGTTTGGCTGACAAGTAAAGGCTGTCGATGAGCTGTGCTGGACGCATTGCCACCATTTTGGTGTTTGTCTCAAAATTGTGAAGCTTCAACCTTTTTGACACTCTATAACCCACAACAGGATTTCGCTGGAATGTGCAATGCTTTAGGTAAAAATTTAAAATCAATGATGTCTATAGCAACGAAAAACATTAAATGAAAATTAGTTAAAGTAGTACACCAAATATTTTTTAAATTACATAAACTTCAATTACATCTTTTATTTTACACTTAATCTAGATAAAAGCTAAATAATACAAATATTCTCTCATTGCGTGTGTTGAATGTTTTTACTTTTTGCAAATCAAATTGCCGTCATATCATCGGTAACAATCTAGCTGAATTTGAGCATAGAAATGATCATTAATGTTTAAACGTAAGGACAAAACCGAATACGAAAAGGAGGAAGAAACCACTTGAAAAAATATTAATAGAATTTAATATTAATTCTAAATTCATTATATAGCCCTCATTCATGTTACAGAATGCAGCCAGTCTTGTGAATGACAGAAATTCTCGCTAATGTCTCACTACCTCAATCGCAGCATCGTAAATAATAAATTGAGTTATGAGAGGTGGTAGCGCGTTATTTTTAGAGATATGTTTTAATCGTCGTCTAATATTCAGTTTAGACAAGTAGAAATTTTATTTTATAACAGCCGACCCAATTTATGGGCTTACGATTACTAATGCTCACCTCCATAGCCTTGTAATTTTGAACCCAATCCAGAAAACAAGGGAACTCCTGGATCAAATATAGGGAGAAACTCTTTGATGGAACTAACTCGCTTTTGCGTTATATGGACAGGAAGACCACGCGAACCTCCCACTGAAAGTCTGAAGGCAAGGGGACTAACCCATGATCCGTCTGGTGACTGTGGTCAGTGTGAGCCGGATGCGAAATTCGTATCGACAAGCCATTGATGAGATTCGAACCCGAGTTACCTCATTAGAAAGCGAACGCTTTATCTCCTGAGCCACCACGGCTCACTTGTAGAAATTCAGGTCAATGCGCCATAATCTGCTTTTTAAGCTTTTTCTGCATTCTATTATGCTCTACATTTTCTTATTCTGTGAATGATAGAAACGGGGAGTGTCAACACATGACTGCAACAAGTCTGTTCGTGTTGGTGGAAGGCACACACTATAATTTCTACCATATATTTTAATTTTTTTTATTGAAATATTTAACTTCCTTAAGTTTTGATAATTTTTTTAAAATAAAAGGGAAAAAAATTGTTTTTTAATTCTTATTAATTGAATTATAGACTAACGCTGGTTTAAGTACAATTATCTAGGTTTACGGTCCCGGCAATTGCTCCGTTTCTAAGACTTTTACAGATATTTGATATGCAAGAACTTCTCAACAGACACCAAAGTATCTTGTTCCACTATGCTATTGACATTACTAACTACAGTAATGAGGATGAAAAAAAAATCTGAGTTAATTTTAAAAAATTGTTAAAAATTCAGGATTAGGAAGACGTAATGATAACGTATTAAGAGCAGATTATTTTATGAATTTTCCAACATCTTAACCAAATCCAATTCCAAATGATAAGTTTCTTGTCAAGACATGGCTTTTGCTGCACTATATTAAAATTTTACTCAACGTAAAACCGAAAGAGTTTAGAAATCTAAAATTTAAATTAAAGGAGGTCAGGGTGTCCTCGAGTTCTGGAACCTCCATTTATCTGAAAGTCACGTTACAAAAGAATAATATATTCAGAAACTAACACAGCACATTTAAAATTTGTATTGTTCAAACAATCAAACTTATTCTACAAAAGCTAATGTAGATTTAGTAAATTGTGAGGAATTATTGAAAATGCCGTTTGAACTATATTTGTATCAGTTAAAGTTAGATTTGAAGCAAATTTAAAGTTTTCAACCCCCCCCCCCACTCATGAAGTCTATACATTTATACGGGACGCTTTAAACGATCATACAAGAGTTTCATATCCATTCCATTTGTAAGTGTTTACAATAGAACAATTTTCTTAAGAGTAAAGTGCGCTTCATGTTTAAAACTATTTTCAAGTGGTAGGAATTATATCAATGAATACAAACACTTTTAAAAACATTCTCCTTTATTAGTCTCCTTATTTATAACATTTACATTTCAGATTAAAACAGTGTTTTACAAAATCTACATTTCAGCGAAACAGATTATTTACATTTAAAGAGAAATACAAGATACGATGCAACTATAGAGATAACAGAAAGTACAAGAACTGTCTCAAATCTAAACATTGCCGATACGTGTATTTAATTTCATTAAAATGAAATATGTTTAATATTCCAGTTAAAGTTTTAATGACTTTAAAATAGTTAAAGCACTAAAATTGTGACCTAAGAAACTGCCAAAATTATGGAGTTTTAATGCTTCGAATTCAATCAGAATTTAATCCAAGTTCAAATTTACGCATAGACGAATTTAGAATTAATTCAAATTTATGCATAGACAAATTAGAAATGTACAGGGGCAAGTCTTAAAAACATTTAAGATTAATTTATTCGTTTGAAAAACAAACAAATCAGCACCTCACTGCATTAATTGATCAATGTTAAAATTATTAATATACTTCAGTTTTGAACTTATTGTTGTCAGTGCATGGAAAACTCCTACAGCAGTTTGAAGGAGTGGTTCGAAAAGATCCGAAACGACTGAACGAGTGTGAAACACGACGAGTAAAACAGAACGGCCGTCTACCGCTACCACCTCGTGCTCCACATTCGCCCAGCTGTTTCGAAACTTCCCGATCCACTTCATCAAGCTTCCCTGTTGTTAATGAAGTTTTAAGAAAACAGGAATTTCACCAGAATTGAATACGCTTCCGAATGAACTCCCATAGACAAAGCAAACATTTTTATTGAGACAATTAAATATTTTATAAACTACTCTCTTAAATATCAAACTTATTACAGTAGAAATCCATTTTATGTAATGTCTAATTTACGTATACTTAATTTTTTTAAACTAAAATTTTACTGTACTGATCGGTTTAAGGGCAAATGCTACTGCGGAGAAAATTTCTGCCGAAATCAAATCTAGTTTAATTTTTCCTCATCAATGCGGTAAAATATTAAATTAGGATTTAAGAATTTCGATTTTAACTTGTGCACGAAATGAATTAAGGAAGAAAACTCATTTGAAAACTAAAGCATTAACAATGCAAACGATATACTTAAAATACACAACAGCTTTTGTATCGCACAAAACATGAAATGAATGATAAATAATGAAAGTTAAAATACAGTATTTTGCAATTAATGCATGCAAGATTATAATTGAAATGTTAAAAAAAAACTAGAGCTGATTTAATATTTGAAATCTGATCCAGACTATTTCTAAGAGGCATAAAATATGTTTCTCTAGCTCGTAGCACTCAAATAAAGTCTACATCAACATTATATTATAGTGCATGAAACAGTCTATATAAATATTAAATTTTAGTGCCTCGCTGAATCTATGAAGAAATAAGTTCTCAGGATAGCTAAATTATTCTTCTGAACGATGGACGTTGCCAATTGATGAAACCTAAATTTAACCATAGAATTTTAATTTCATTCGCTTCGTCTTTGGTTTATTTGGCAAGGTATGTGTTCGCGATTATATAAAAAGGACAAAGTATAGACGCCGAACACGAAATTTAGAATTGCGTAGATAGTGAATCTATATTCAAAATTCTATTTATTTTGTACTGAAGATTAGTTTAGTATGAAATTTATATAAAATAGTTGTCAAATTTGTACAGGTTGTTTTTCAAAATGATTGATGGTTTTTAAAAGACCTGAATAGACAATAAAAGAGAAGCAATCTTGTAAAGCGAAACGTTTAGAAGTGAACTACAAAAATTTACGGGGGTTTGAGTATAGTGGGCTAAGGCAAAAATCAATGCTACTGAAAAATTACCAAAGCTTGTCCTGAATTTGAATATTGCATTTAAACCCTGGATATAAAACTTAAGTTCACCCTCAGTAATATTGTACTTTTTCAAATAATAGTTTTAGAAAATCTTGTAGTTCCCCGTTTTCTATTTTGTTTTTGGAGTGGTCTCAAAGCTTTATTCGATAGTCGGATTATTTTAATTTATATTTAGTTGCAATGAGCGTTTTTGTCAACCGCGTGCAGCATATTTATATATAATTTAGTTTAACTGTGTATAACACGTAATTAGTTAT